TCTCTGCTTTGTTCTGAAATGAGAGAATATAGATTTTTACTTGGCAGTGTACTCCATCAATACTCTGAAAGCACAGTTAACTGTGGGTCTGCTAGCAGCAGAACAGTGATGTTTTGAATGTAAACACTGTTTAAAAGTCTATTAATAAGCCACTGTGGCAACTGTAATGACCCAAAATTCTTGGCTCCAAAATTAATCCATCAGGGAAAAAGTTGCTTTGTTCTAGATAGCAAAGAGCATCCACAGCAGTATTTTGGCTCGACATGTGTTCTTGAACAGTATTGGATCATGGTTACGGTTTGAAAGTCTTGGTGGTTTGCTGTGTTGCCTCATTGACTTGTCACAGAATATGCTGTTAATCTCTACAAAAAATTGGGAGGAAGAAAAGATGTGGCATGTCCATTGTGCACGGTCAGTGAACTTTTCCCCTTTTCCTTCCTGTGCTGGGAGGAGCTGTAAGTGAAAAAAGTTACTTTTGTTGAAATTAAGAAATAATAAAAGAATCACTGTAGAATTGCATCTCAACCAGAAAAAGAAATAAGAACTAGTGGTAGTTTAGACTCTTATTTAGACTATAGAGAGGCAGGAATATGTTCTGTGGCCACAGAGTGCCTAAAATGAGTTCTGCTTGTGTTTAAAAGCTAAGGGAGGAGTCTAGGAGAGCATTAGATGTATTGAGCTAATTGCATATGTGCTTCAGCTGAGGTATCAGTGTTAGTAGTTTGTATGCACAGAGCCCCAGCTATTTGTCCCATGAATTACTCAGGAAGAGTGCTACAAATGAAAGGTAAGTATTTTAAGTTTGGAGCTGAGTAATTTTTAATAGCTCTCATAGGCTTTGATTTTTGATTTTTCTTTCTGTCCCATGTTTACTGCTGTGGGGCCCTGGTCAAATGCAAACAAGCAGTCTTGTTTCTGGGGTTTGTTTCTTCTGGCATGAGAGAAGCATCGTCAGCCCATGAGCTGGGCCTTGACTATTGCAGGTTTGAATACTGAAGCCTACACATTTGGCTGTCCTTATGCTGTTTTATAGATAATGGTTGCAGAGGAAGAAAGTACCTGTTAAATTAATACTGATAAAATTATCATTGAAGTGATAATTTTAAATGAAGTGGCTTCTGCTGAAGGGCTCTGAGTTCCCTTTAATAGCTCCTGCTCTCTAAAGCCTTTAATGTTGATGTGATAGGAGTATGAACTTTTGAAGGCTTGCATTAATCACATTATAAAACTTCTTTGGTATTAGTGGTAAAATACTTGTACGTTTATAGATTGGTGCTTTTTCAACAACATGCTAAGATTTGATTTCATTAAAGTTTTGGAATGACTGTCACTCATTATTTCTTTATCCTGACATGATTTGATGCTTTGCTGGTAGGTTAGTACATTGTTAATCAGGTTTTTACTCATTTAAAGAAAACAAAAAATTAGAGAAACTTCTATGAAAAACTTGAGTCATAAGCTATTGTAGCAGTAATTTCATTATGAACTGGGTAGAATTTTTTAATGAAATGTGGAAGTATCTACAAATGTGCTCCTCCACCACGAAGTCTGAAAAATGAGGGGGTTTAAATAACAGGCATTCTTATTTCTTTTAATTTTTTTAAAAAAGCCCCACAGTCAGCAGCTGATCTGGATTCTGGGTTCTGAATGCAAAGTTAAATGTTTTTTATCAATAATGCTGCTCTGCTGTGTGTAAGCTGGGGGAGACAGAAACCTTTAACCTTTTTGCAACACCAAGTTTTGGCTCATTTCTGAAGCAGCTGAGGGTCTTATTCTTAAACATGTTCCAGGTATTTTAAGAGTAATGCAGCACTAAACTTCGAACTTAGGTAAGTTCTAAACTATCAGAGCTCACTGGAGTTCAATGCAGAGTTTACAACCGATAAAATAACTGTGGTGAATCAAACGTACAGCAGTTTTACTGCTGATCCTCACCTAATAGAGCAGACTGAACAGTACTTTCTCGAGAACAGACCCATAAATGTACTAAAGCTAGCAGCTTCAGACTTATTTACCCATATTCAGTATCTGGTACAAAGTTAATGTTGCTTCATGCTGAAAAGTGCTCAAAATATATGCATACTTGTTACCACTTGCCCCCTAAACACTGACATGATTTTTCATGTTTGATATTGATTTCTACGTAGAATTAAAAAAAAAAAAAAAAGTTTGTAGACTTTATCCTGCTATTTTGTCGTTTGTTTGTTTTTTTAAATTTAATGTCCAAGCTTGCAGGTTCGTGTGACTTTCAGAAGGTGACAGTGCTGGCCAGGAAGTTTCCACCCTGTCCCCTTTCCACTGGTTCCATTTGAAGAAGACAGCTGGGGCTCTGATAAATTAATAGAATTCAAAAATATACCTTTCAAAAAGAAATCAATCACTGATCCGGATCAATATGTATCTCTACAGCATTTGTTAAAGACTAAGTGGAAGGGTGATGTAGAAACAGAAACAGATTAAACTGGAATCCTCACAGAGCAGAAGGGTGCGTGTCAGTGTACTCTAAAACTTCTTAATATTTCGTGGCTGCTGAGAAGTTGAGGGTGATGAAGAGAGCAACAAAAATATTCAGAGAGACACAACAGTTTGGATATTCAACATGAAACTCCAAAGGGAAGCAGCTACATCTAGAAAACATGAGTTTGATGCAGCACAGCCCCAAAGGCTGTGTAATTTATTTGGAGAATTGTGTTTTGAAATCTTTCCAATTTTGTGATGTTTAGGCATCTGTGCATGTGCTGTGTGCTTGCTTGCTCTCTCATGCTGATGTTTTCTATTCGTTTTCAAAGAACGACAAAATGTTGAGACTCAGTTATTTTCCTGTCTCTGTGTTTGTTCTAGTATTCCAAATATTTTTTCAGGAGATAATGAAAGTCTGATATAGCTTGTGCCACGTTTTTATTAGCTAATAGCAGAAGAGATAAACCACGTTGAGAGGGTGTATGGAGAGCGGTCAGAAGCAACAATTACATTTTTATTTGATTGAATTTAATAATAAACTTTCAGTAATACCTCCCAATAATTCGCACGTAGTCTGTGGTGAGCATGTTACACAAAGTTCTCTTAGGGACCTTTATGTGTTCACTGTGTATACCAACTATTTTGACATAGAATATTTGGTTATATGGAGAAGTTTCCAGGAATACTAAAGAAGAATTTCTCACAAGCTACATTTCTTTTTTAAACTCTTTTTAGTATCTTCTAATCTTGACATTTTCTTTCCTTTTTTAGACTAAAGAGTCTTTGAGTCTTTCTCCTTTGGTAGCTATAAAAGTGAATGGAAAGGTCTAGTTGATAGCCAATAGTAGCATTTAGGCAGTATGTCTTGCCCTGTGATAAGTATGTGGAAGGACTGGGCTTACACTGCATTCCTGCTAGTTTCCTCTCTTATTGCTGACATCACTGATCCTGTTCTGCACAGTAATACTCTTGCTGTAGAAGGACCAGTCATCAGTGGTCCTTCCCTAACTGGGAGAAGAAGAGTCCTTGCTGTCCAGTACATGCTTATGGAGGTGATTTACTGTTCACATTTCTTCCTTTCAGTAAGAAGAAAGGGAAATACTCCTGTTTTCCAGTTGCTCTCAGAAAGATGCTTCAGGAGAGAAGGCTTCTATTACAATGTTAGCTGTCTCCTGAAGTGCACAGAAGAGGTACCCCATGAAGCAGGAGGACAGCAAGCTTGGAGGTTGATCTGTAGGTGGAGGCCAGCAAGTGGTGCTGCTATTCTCTCTCCTTCCCATGCTCAGTGACTGATTTTTGTAATTGTATGGTACTGCAGGCTGAGCCCAAGTCCATCCAGATACTTGCTAAAGGCAGAGCTTGCTTTTTTTCTTTTTTTTAATTCAGCCCCAAAATTATCTTTTTTCTTGACTGTAGATATGTTTTATAGGTCTTGGCTAAATTCTCCAGAAGACATAATTTATCTTTCTTGGACCTGTGGTTATTCATGTTTGTGGAAATCTGTAGGGTTTGGTGGTTGGTGTTTTTCCTGACTTCCTTTGAAGGGGAAAGAAATTGATCTGAGCTTTCTCAAATGACTGTATTTGTCCATCTCTTTAAAACCTCACTTGCTTTCCCCATTGCTCACAGTAAGGTAGTAGAAAGCTATTTTAATAAAAGCTTATTATTACTGTAGACGTTCTTGTTTGGTACATAATGAAAAAATAAACATTCACTTTTAAATGATCATAAATTGATTTGCTCTACCAGATAATTACTAACTTGAAGCTGACTGTTCATCTTATTAGAATCAGAAGTCTATAAATCTATACAGGTAAAAGGGTAGGTATGAAAACACTGATGATACAGTGTGGCTTATTTCCCTTTGAGATTCTTCCACTACTCCATTTTGTTCTCCTTCTTACTGGGTGTGACCCTACTTCTGTGTGTAAGGGTATATAGAATCCATGAATAAGCTAAGCAATGTACTGTAGGGGCTTTGTTATCTGTTGCAGTAAGTCTTCATGCTTAGATAGGACTACTAGCTTTAAAATTTTCAGTCATCATAAAGAGTTAATTTTAATGATAGTTAACAAAGTGCAGTGCTTACCAATCTTAGATAAACAAAACCCAACAAGCTGGAAGATCATAATGCAGAGAATTAAAACTCCATGACTTGCAGATTGATTTTAGACTATTCTCTCTAAATAGTGTTTGAACTTGCTTGCTGATATATATGGGGATAAAAAAATTAATATAAAGCTATTATAGAATAGCACTGGTAACATGGAGCAGGGGTCATACAGTACCATTCTTTTAATTGGGTAGGAAGAAATTCCACTCTTTCATCCCCAAAGGAAATACTTAATTGAAGATTTCAGTGCACCAGCAAAATTTCAGAATTTTCAAGTAGCAGTTTTAGGCTAATAGGTATTCTTATTTGGTCATCATTTGTTAGGAAAGTGACATCATTGCCTGTATTTTACAGTGAAGTTACTTTGTTTGTACTGTGGCCAGACAGCATAGTTCATTTCATCATAGTGTGCTCATCTTGATTGCAGCACATCTTCATTGCCACCTCTTGACTGGCCTTTACCAAGTCATTACGGGCAGTGTGAACTGAAAATAGAAGTCCAGCCTAAAACTCATCACAGAGCTCACTATGAAACAGAAGGAAGCAGAGGAGCAGTAAAAGCGTCTACTGGAGGACACCCTGTAGTAAAGGTAGGAAGTCTGGCTTCCCTGAATAGAAGATAATTTTTTAACTACAATTATTGGTATTTATAATGCTATGAATTGTTACCTTGTGTGAAGCTTACAGTCCTTCCTAAGATTTTCTTCCTTAAATATAACTTGTTCAATACAAAAGTTAGTTTTAGATGGTTAAAAAAGTACAGTTTGCTACAGTTACAGTGCCTGTTGCAGTTTTACACGGTATGTAGTTTAATGCTTATGAATGAATTCAGTGTGCAGTAATGTATTAACATATTCAACGTGAACTTTAAGGAAGAAGGGGTATGCATGAGGGCAGGTAAGAAAAGTCACAATAGTAGTCTAGTTGGAGCTATACTGAAACATGATACAGCTTCATTTGAATCAGTAATCACCTGTCTTTTGGTGCTGAGACGGCTTCTGAATCCTATGAATGCCTCATTTGTGTATGTATTTGTTAGGTTATTTCTGTAAAATGGTGCCCATAAATTTTGTTAACTTTCACTTAACTATTTGGAGTAAATTAAACTTGACTCTTTCTTCAGCATGAACCAAAAGTTATTACTCGCAGTTTAATGGTATGTGGATGTCATTTCCATTGTGTTAACAGAATCCTGCAAGCCTTATTGTCTCCTAGAATGGTTTCAGTCACAGAATTGCAGAATGGTTTGGACTGGAGGGGACCTCAAAGCTCATTCAGTTCCAAACCCCTGCCATGGGCAGAGACACGTTCCTTCCACTAGACCAGGCTGCTCCAAGCCCTGTCCAACCTGGCCTTGAGCACTGCCAGGGATGGGGCAGCCAGAGCTTCCCTAGGCAACCTGTGCCAGAGCCTCATAGTGAAGAATCTTTTCCCAACACCTAATCTAAATCTACCCGGCTGGATTTTTTAGCACAGTAGAGGCAAGGTCAAGTGTTTATCAGGGAAGTCTGTGCTGCAAACTAGAGAAAATTGAGAATGCCTGGACTAGGCTGGAATCTGAAAGTTGGCTGGGCACATTTCGTCATGTGGAGCATTGTGTTGCTTTAGTCAAAGTCAACACACTTTTCACATGCCAAGGTGCTGGTGCTGCAATTTAACACATCATTAATGAGGGCAGAAACTTGAGAGATTCTGGCTGACAAAGTAAATGTCTGCTGAGCTTTTCTGAGCTGCATTCAGTTTTGTTTTCTTTTTTTTTTTTCCCTCTGGGTGTCTAGCCCTAGTGTTTGCATTAAGGGAACTTACAAACCTGATGTTTGTAAGATTTGACGAATATACGTAAGCTTTCTTTTGCTTACAGAATTAGATTCTTCTAAGCTGCAGTACTAGAAAAAAACAGATCTGCAATCAATGAGGTTTACACCAATGATTTTAAAAGTTATTTATTTGCATTAGAATTGTGAAATACCTTGCTATGACAAGAATGCTGCTTTAAAAATGGGGATGATCTTTATATGTCTAACAGTCTTATGCTTAAACACGTGGATTATACTATGTCGCTCTATTAAATGGATACAAATGCAAATCAGTATTCTATTTTGCAATTTTGTCTCTTCCAGCTGGATTAGAAATTAATTGTTGTGCTTGATGGGACAGAGGAGGTTGTTAGGAAACAAACCATCCATCTGTAATAGCTTTTTACTCACTGCTGGAAAAAACAGTATGCTAAGGGCCAAGTTTGGTGAAAGGTAAATATTCGATTGCTGTGAGCAATGAAGTGAAAATTACCTTATTTAAATACAAAAGTAAAATCTTTCCAGCACTTCCAGAAGCTTATTACACAAATCCAATTGCTATTACAGTATACATTACTATTTGTTTCTGACCTGGCTTTTCTTTTTGGTGCTCTTTGTGTTTATACCAATCATTTCCATGTGTGTGATCATTGCAATAAAGTACTAAGCATTTTCTTGTGTGAAATAACTGTATGTTAACCAGTATCAGAGACAAGAAGGGATGTGAGTGAATAGAGTATTTTGGTTGTAAGGGACCTACAAAGAGCATCAAGTCCAACTGCCGCATCTGCGGGTGCCTGAAGGTCTTTGTGTAATTTTGCCTCCTTCACAGTTTGTTTTGCTCTTGAATACTATTTTATAGAAAGCTAGAATATTTGATTTCTGACCTGTTACATTAGATTTTAAAATAGTACATAGCTTCAAGCCATTAATCTATTAGTGCCTGTCATTAGTCCATAAACTAATACTGTACCATACCTGTTGCTAGGAGACTAAGCTCTGACAAATTTGGCATCATCTGTTGAGTACATTTAATCAGCTTATTTCCAAATGTGAGGAAATTAAATGTGTGGGGCATTGTGTTTTGCTTTGTAAGTCCATTGACTTCAAGAAACAAAGTCTGTAATGAAACTCACTTCTTTTTAGCTATTTTAATGTAAAACGTTCTAAATGGCAGATAACTGTCATTTTAATCTCTGCTTTGTTGGTGGTATGTTCCAGCTAATCCATGTCATCTGGAACAATTTCTTTTACCTTTGTGAAGAATTTGCAAGAGAATGTTGACAGTTTTCACAAGGAAGGAATAAGTAACTTTGACAGAATGATTAGGAAAGAGAAAGGTGGCATGTTGAATTTTTGGCATCCAAATTATGTGGAATTTTTGAATTGCATTGTCAGGAGACATAGAAAGCCTCTGAGCACTGTCTACCGTTCTAATTCAGTAGGTGGGAGTACTTTACCCATCAACGAAGCTTTTAAAGAAATAGCTGCTACATTTCATCTGACTCTAAATGAATGATCATTGTTGCTTGAATTTGCCACCCTTCCCTAGGACAGATTGTATGTAATAAAATAATACTTATGATTTGTTAGAATGAGGGTTTACTGTTACCTAGAATGGTTAGGGCTCTTCATGAGATTTCACTTGAATAATACTTATGATCAAAAACACATAAGCGTTGTAGAGCAGATGGGCACATGATAAGCATCTCTCCGGGATACCTTGTGGAGAGGTTTTTTTTTGTTTAGTTTTGTTTTTACTTTTGTATTTTGGCTTTCTGATCTGAAATGACTTTGTTTTAAAAAGAGAAAATCTCGTACACTGTATTCCTGCTATTCATGTTGACTTCTGAGTTTTCGTAAGTATTTTAAATTTAATGTGATCTTTTGATAGTAAATTCTGTAAGCTGTATGGTGCATAAGAAGTATGTCCTTTTTATTTTTGTCTTGTTACTGGTGAAGAAAGTGATCTACATGATACTCTTCTTGATAACCACGCAATGTGATGTACTGAGGGACTGTTGAGCTAACCGCTACTTGTTAGCACTGTTTTGTATGCAGGAAGTACTCTCTGTTCTGTGGCCATTTACCAGGGGTTGTAGATGTGACCTACCATAAGGGCAACTTATTCTAAAACATATCGTGTACCTGCAACAGAAACTGTGTAGAAGCCCTTGGGCCCCATGCATGCAAGACAGATTTGGTTCACTGGTAGCCATTAAGAATTGGCCTGTACCAGCAATGGTTTTTTGCCCTGCTACAAAGGGTCTAGCGATAGAATCGTTCACGAATTCCTCTGCCATAAGCAAAATTCATACTGTAGTTGATTCTGCAACAACAGAGGAGGGGAAGCATCATGTAATCTGTATGGACAACTCAGCATTGTTACAGCTGAACAAAGGCTTAAGATAAAAAATCAAGGAAATGTTAAATAAAACCAAGTTTGTTTAAATGGTTATGAAATTCTAGTCACTGACAAGCAAACAGTAACCTCCTTTGTGAGGTCTAATGGAGATCTGTGGAAGAGGGACTGAATGTCAGTTCTATTTAAAGTAACAGCAGAGCTTGGAAGTCATGACTGAAGAGCTGGAGTGGGAGAAAAAGTAAACTAATTAAGCTAAAGTAAACTAATTTTGAGCTAGTTTGAAAATTCTGAAACAGGAATGTGTTCTCAAAAAGTCTGTCAAGCTCTGCCTGAGTTCTGGTGGAAGAAACTGTAACCTGCAAGAGAGGATCTAACCAAGCCATTTCAGAGATGATCTAATGAAAATAAATTAATGAAGGATTGTCTAAATGAATGTATGTTTCCTGGCCTGTAATTCTGAGGCTGTCACCTTTCCCCACATTTTCTGTCTGGCTGATTCATGTAACTACTTGAATAACAGGTATAATATCGGAGTTCTTCCTGTTCTCTAAACCCAATAAAAAACACAATTTTCCTGTGTTTCATGACCCTTCCCATTCTTCTTGCCTTTCACATTTCAGTTTTTACTTTTCTGTTGACTTCTTCCTTGTTTTGTACATCACCAGAAGGCAGGCTGTATCCCAGCTCTAATTGCCTACTGGTGTTCGGTGAGAACAACCCCCAAATAAATCTAGAAGGCAGAAGGTAAGTCTCAGCCAGTGTGAACTGTGTAGGGGGCTGTATTGAGAAAAACAGTGACCTTTGGTTGAGATTCTGGAAGTACATATCTTTCAAGATCAGTTTGATAACTATTTAGGCACCTTCTGCTTCAGAATCCCCAAAATAGATAGTAAAAGCCATATTGATGCATCTATTGTATGTTTGAATACTTAAGCTAGAAAATGCATTAATTAACATAAAAAACAACAACCAAAAGCATTAAAAAAGGCACACTGGATGGGACACAGTCATCTGGGTTTTTTATGTCCTATCTTTACTATAATGTCAAAATGTAGTATCCATTTATGGTGGGTTTTTTGTTTGGGATTTTTTGGGAGGGGGGAGTGTGGGGGGAGGATTGAGAAAGGGTTTCCTATTTCTGTCCCAGAAATGCTTGTCTAAAAACCTGTGATAGCATAATTTAGCACTGAGAGATGTTGCTATTTCATGAATAGCACTTTTTTTTTTTTTTTTTTTCCAAGGCTGTAGAGCAGACTGCAGCTGGCAAGTGTATCATGATGGCTATTTAGATGTGGCTGGCAGTTCTGCACTGTGTGAAGTAGTATTATTAGTCTAACACTATTTTAGCTATGAATTGATCTCCTTTTTTGGGTAGTGTAAAATGGGATAGGAATCTGAGCTAAAACACTCTTCAAAATATGCCTGAAAT